AATGTTATGGTCTTTTTTTTTCTGTAGACAACTTACCGGTAGAAAACATCTCCGTGTATTTATAAATAAATGAAATCTTGAAATTGTACGTTTTCCTACTTTTTTCCCCACTTAAGTGTTTTTATTTAAAAAATTGTGTCGAAAATCAAAAAAGTGACTTTCGTTAAGTAACATCTAGATAACTTGAAATTTCAGAAAAGGTTCTACACGTAGTAATCGGAGCAAGTTAATTAGGAAAAAGTATGTTCACTGTCTAGAACAAAAAAAAAGAAAAAGAAAAAAGTAAACATCTTAATAAAACCAAGAAAATGTTATTTAAATCTACTTACAAAATAGAGGCTCCACACTTACATCCATTAGTAAAATTGCATAAACAAAATAATCCGATTCGACGTGCATTAACTTTGAAACTGCTCCAACATAAACCTTGCTAAATTGTTAGACTCTTTAAAAAAAAAAAAAAATAATATGAATACTGATAACTCAGTTAAAAACACTTATGATTTTATTGATAAAATTAATATTGTGCTAGGTTACAAAATTATTTCTTTTGACATCAACAATTTTATTCTTAAAAAATATCATTTTTAATTCAATATTGTATAAGCTTGAACGTATTTCATTAAATAAACATAATTATAAACATGAGCTCAATACTATCTATAATATAGCCCATAGAAATTATTCATTTCTGAAAGGTCGGCCGCCTCAAGTGTAATTGAGAGCTGCAACTCATTTGCGAACAATAGAAAACTTTTTTTTAAAGAAATTTAACCACGTATAAAGTGCACCCAACGTGCGTGCCTACGTGGGTACGCCATTTTTGCCGTAAGGTCTTTCGATTACGTGTTGCATGCCTGAAATTTTTGGTCTGTTGTTATGTGGGGCCCGCGATGCGTCTCCTGGATACATAGTACGTCACATGCTGTAAACTTATTCAATTCTGCTAGGAGTTCTTCTTTGCTATCTAATAATCCCTCAATATTGATTGAGATCGTCTTGAAATCTTTGGGAGGTGGCCCTAAAAAGGACCTTTTTGACATAGTGGTTGTCTGGTTGTGTAGATTTTTGGTTGCGCACCAATATGGTTCTCTGCTTGCACGGTGGTAGATCTTTAGCCGCTATAAAACGTTGCCCAGGTGTACACTACGAGGAAGCGATCTACCATTTCACCCCAGTATATTAAATATATTTCGGTAAATTCTCATATATATATATATTATACAAACATAAACATATAAATAAAATACATAACTTATTTCAAATCAAATTTGTATAATAATCCAAAATAATATGCATAGTTATATTACAAAATTACATATTATTACACCGCAATAAATTGTACAGGTATGATATTTTACATACCGTTCGTAGCTAAAAACTTTGGACTGGTTAACACCACTAATTCGAGGTTCTGAAATAAAATACAACAATTATTTTGAACGATTAGTCATGTTTCGGCAATTCGAAACGATAACAATTTGTAACTAAAACCATATCATTTTTAATAATTTTTTTCTAGAGATCCTAAACGCTTCGCTACTACATCTAGTAATGTACTTTGTAGCAATATACCTGCATGAATATCTGGTTTTATATTATTTACTGTGTATTGAAGACCTCTTATTAGTGGTATTACCAAGGACAATGTTGGATATTTTTTCTCCGGACAACTCCGACGTCATGTATTCAAATGGTTTTAAAATTGGAGCACAATCTACTATTAAATCCCATTTTGTCGCAATCAAACAATTTGGAGCTCGTCGGAGAAACGACATTGCTTCAGATATAGGATTTTTTATTTCAAGGAGCCTTTCAACCATGATTAAACACGAATTCCACCTAGTGCAAATAATAAGTAGTCCAAATAATTCGATTATTTTTCCTGACAATCGAGTTACTCGATTATTATCACTCGATTGTTCCCATCACTAATAGTAACTCTGTGTGACGGATGTCAAGAACTTCTGCTGCTGGGAAGCGCTCGTGAAAAAAGAACCAATGAAGGTATAAAAAGACTACATAATAGCCCTCTCCCGACATCCTCTCATTTATGAGGATCAAACGGTTAGAACGGTTCGGGCACGTGTGGACGTCATAGCGATTTATAATATTATTCAAACTAACACGGTAACGATAACACGTTTCAAACTATGGCAAGTTGTCAATTTTTATATAATTCGTGTGCGATTTTCGGATTTAGGTATGTCGTGTGTTCAGTTTGTTTATGTTCGCGCAATAAAAATTGCAAATGATTGATTTGACAATAATTTAAGTTAGGTAAATGTTAGGTAAATAATGTGTTCCGGACGGTGGTTTCATCATACGCCAACAGTGTATAGACAACGGCAATATTTAAAAGTAACAACGGGAACGTTGTGTTTAATAACAGCATAAATACTGTTGCGTTAGTGTCAGTCGAGGGGCCCCTGGAACGGGTGACAAACAACGAACGCTGCGATCGTGCGGGGCACGGGCCATAACGCGGCGGTTTTCACAGATAAAACGAGTGATACGAAAACATTATCGCGCGGAGATTAGATTCGGGCGGCGGCGGCGTCGTCGGCCGAATGATCCGGGCGCGGGACGAAAGGGGGACGGCGACGACGACTCCCGACAATGAGCTGTGCGGCGTCCGTCTACACGTACGCGCGTTGTTAGCGTTTTATTTTGGTAACGGCGACGACGCGTCGGTTCGGTGGGCGCGGTATAGGATTGGCCGGACCAGTTTTCCCCGCGGTCACACTGCTGCGTGGTCGTCGGCGGCGGTGATTGGCGGCCGTCTGCGCTCACCGCGCCATCGGCACCGAGTGGCGTAGACCGCGGTGCTTTACCGGCCGGCAGTTCTTTCGCTCGGGAGGACCGCCGGTACGTCAACGCGGTTCTGCGCGTCCGGTCCGACTTTATTATTTCTCTACTCGGCCGGTTTTCCGAGACACGGGAGACGAATTTTCGTTGTGTCGACAGCAACGTGCGCGGACGGCGTCGCGGCGGTAATTTTGTCTCTTGTGGCTGGCACGCCGAATCTGCAAGTGAGTACAGTGTATGCGCACTCGGTACTCGTACCGGCCGGCGCGCACGTGTTTTTTTTTTTTTTATCGTCACGGTTGTGTATTTGCGCATGCACGCGTGACCGGCCGAGGCGCGATGGTTAAATGTCCGTATCTTTCGATACGCGCGTCGCCGGATATTCTGCCGGTGTAAATCTGTATGCGTAATTGTCCGTGACACGTCAACGAGCGAAGCCCGGTCCCTCCGCCGGTCGGCTATTCCCAAAGTGGTCCCGCAAAACCGGTGCGAGGTCGCCTGCGATGTACCCGCGCGGTATTGTAGTCGTACGTGTCGTCGTGTTCGATACCTATGCGTAACGGATAACGGTGTAAATCTAATTGAATAGCCGGTAAACAGTTTTTACCCCGGCCGGCGAACGATGTGTTCGTGCGATCGGCCACGGCTATTTTGTTTCCGTGTCTTCCGTTGCGTAGGTACGTCGCTGGATATTTCGCGGGGCTTGTTAGTTTTGGCGCGTATTTGCGCGTCAACGTGTTACGGGCCCGGCTCCCCTGCATCGATCGGTATAATCCACGAAGCGGTGCCGAAAAACCACTCACCTAATAATGTTTGTATCGGAGTTAAAAAAAAAAAAAAATAATACGATACGAAAATACGCGACGAATTGTATGCTGGGAACGGCCACGGTTCCGTAACGATGCATCTAATGTTTGTATTAAAAAGAAATAACAATAATAATTATGTGGTATAAACAACCACGGTTCTATGTGGTTATGAAATGTAAATAAAAATATGACGAAAAGTCGTCTGTCGGAAAACCTACGCGTACCTATCTTCTAATCATATTTGTATTGAAAGAATAAAAATACTAATTGTGTGATAGGAGCGACTGCAGTTTTATAACGACGGTACTACCTAATATTTGTGTGAGAATAAAAAAAAATAATAAATTATGTGGTACGATTACGGATATAATGTATTATAATGTATAATGTATAAGTATGTATATGTATGATATAATGTATAAGGATTGGCGGAAGTTTTATGGGGGTGGATCACGGTTGCGTACGTTAGTCCTTTTTGACAAAACGATTGCCAACGAATTCGTATGCAACCTTGTCAAATTTATGGCTATGCTTGTTACTCGATAATTATCCGGCAAATTGCATTGGCCGAATCTAAAGTGAACTTTAGATTCACCACTTAAGGTCTATTTACACATAACCGTTCCGTTTCCGTAACGTCCGTTCAGTATCAGTGCAAGAGTATTTACACTCAACCGTTCAGTATCCGTTGTCCGTGCCTGTTTAGTGCAGTTAGAATCTAACTACTGAGCACACGCACGTTTTTTACATTCCGTTTTTCACTGTTGTTTTGGCTTTTGGGTGTTTGAAAAAAATTATAATATGACTGAAAGTGTAGACGAATCGCTAGACGATCTAGCAGTACTTGCCTTGCTGCTGGATGAAGAAGAGGAAAAGAACAACGAACAAATAGGATTTGGGTTCATGATTTATGGAAAAAAAGAAAAATTGAAGGTGAATTAGCTACTTTGTATGGAGAGTTGGTAGATCACGAAACAAAATTTTTTGAATATTTTCGAATGTCACACAGTACTGTTTTAATTTATTATTAAGTAAAATTGAACATGATATAAAAAAACAAGATACTTTTTGGAGACCAGCATTTAATAGCTTGAATTTTTTTATGTAAATGACATACTATTGCCATCAGCGACTAGCAGTTGTTCATTTCAAATGTGTACCTATATCAATTATTAAAATATAATCTTGAATATGCTATAATATGCTTATATTAAAATTATCGTTTTTACAATTTATTAATTTTTTAAATTAAATAATAATTTAATTATAAATTCTTAATAGTTGTTTAGTAAAAACATGTTATCTATACTAAAAAAATACATAATTAAGTACTAACAAATACCACTTGCCTGTTAGATTTATTTCATTTCCAATAGAATTCCAAATGTTGTCTTTATGAGCAGTATCCATATATTTTGGGTGTGAAAGGTCGTATAATTCTATATGAGAACGAACCATTTCTATAATTTTTTCGTCGGCATTGGTACACATGATTTCAGATTTTGGTGTATAAGTTTTTGAAAAAACAACTTTTTAAAAACTTAAAAAACTTTTTAAACTTAAAACTTTTTTTAAATTTTACAAATACGTCTCGCGAGTAGGTAAGAACAAACCGATCGAGTTGACAGNCTCCGACAAATTTTAAAGTACGGAAACGGACCGTGCGGATACGGAACGGACATGTATAAGCATACCCATTTTGTAATAAGTAAACAAACTTTAAACTTCGGACACGGAACGGACGGCACTGATACTGAACGGACACGGAACGGATGTATGTAAATAGACCTTTACACGGGATTATATTTGTAATTCATACGTACGTATGTAGTGTCGAAAGGAATGTAGCGATGTTAGGGGAGGGAAGTTGCTATGAGAAACAAAGCCGTCCTCCACGGATCCGTGTTAATTGCACGTAGAACGCAGTTTTCAAATCGTTAGAATGAGTTCCTCTACTTATTTATTGCCACTTCGAGCAATGCTGTGGTTTTATACCGAAATCTGGACGAATTACGGTTATACGTATCTGCCGAGTAATTATTTATAAGTACTCGGTTCTTTAATTAATAATAATTGAATTAACACAAAATTATAATATTAAAATAATAAAAACAAAATTAACGATGAAAATAACATTAAAAAGTATTTTTATTTAAACATTTTGAAACTTAAAATTATTTAGTAATCGTAAAAAAAAATAATAATTGAATAGCATATCCTACAAACTATAATTTAACAGCCAAATGGTCCGTTAACAAGTAGATAATAAATTCAGTCTCTAAGTACAAAGTCTTTCTACTGATATCAGTGTTATTAGAAATGAGTTAGTGGCACACATACATTCATCGCTTTCGGTGGGGTGGTTAATGCAAGTACCTTGTCAGGTTCATTATCTTTATTTAAATCTTCAATCATGTTAATGAGCAGTGGTAATGTTCTCCATTGGTCATAATTTTTTTTTTTTTTGGATCAATTTCATTTTTTATTATTCTAGGCTATAGTAATACTGGACTGTTAATATATTTGTTGATTGTATAAATTAGAACTCGTCGATTGAATGTCGCATGTTTTATATGACTCATCCATTTCGGTTATTGGTCCAGTGTTCGCTTGTATTGGCGGATAGCGAAATCAAAAAAAAAAAGTTATAATATATTAATAAAATATTTGAATTGTCAAATTTTTAAGGAAATTGTGAACTATTAACTATGTATGTTGTACTTATGACAATAGACGGGTAAAGTGATTGGAATCATGTGGTATTATAGTGTAGATTTTCTGTAAATACTAAAATCAAATTTATTCTTTACTATGGAAACTGTAAGATCTAAGTAATTTACTTAATTATTTATTTGTATTTCGAGTGTAAAATTATTAAATGGTTTTTATTTATTTTGTTTAAGAAGTAGTTAACTAAATGTTCTGCTTGTCTATTCGAACCTCTGAATAAAATAAAATCGGTTTAGGTTAGATTTAAATTAGGTGTCTATATTTGTATTATTTTTCATTCAAAGATTAAAGTTTTTTTTTTTTTTTTTTAGAATTCAATGATTCTTAATCTTACGTATATTGAACGTATAAACGGCATTTCTAAAATTATGAATATTAAAATTACGTCAAATGTGTCCCAAGGGTTAGGTTAGGTTTGGTGTTAAATCGGAATTCGGCTTGAAACACATTTTTGGAATCGTACAAGTCGTAGTGTCAAAATTAGTATAGATACTTATATAAAATGTGGTATTCTGTGCAAATGTAAATAACTCGTTAATAATACTACAGATAATATCCATAACGGTTAAACAGCTACTTACTAACAATTCATTTTTTTTTTTTCAGGAGGGGCCACTTTTCCTGGGCGTTTGTATAATGTAGCGCTTTCAAAAACTATTATCTAAACAAGCAAACCACTAATAACAATAATAATATTAATAAGTTACGAAACTGAGGCGATTTCATGCATTTCATTTTTTTGTGAAAAACCATTACAGGATTTTTAAATTCAAAATTTAATATAATTATATCAACAATCACATGATATTCGAATAAAATAATATTGAAATAATATTGCTATAGAAACTACCTAGGTATCTAATTAAATTGTAGATTTTTACATACATGGTGAGCCATTCAACTCATCACACATCATTTCAATCATTACACACTCGATATTTTGAAAATTATTGAATTTTTTCGACAATTTAAAAAACAGTACTTGAATATTATATTAACACTAGTTTTGTCACACTTGTTTCGAGGGTGGAAATTACTACCTATTTTTGATTTTCCAATGTCAATTCGAAAACAGTCGATACTTTTCGAAATACCTACCTATCAAGTGTGTATACCTACGATGTTTTTAAATAATAATCTATCTATTTAAGGCATTTTCGAAATAGGTTGCTATTTGAAAATCAAAAGTAGACCAAAAATACACCATTTCCTAGTGAACATCTAATACCCAGTGAATGATCGAATTTTTTTTGCTTAAAACTGAATTATGTTTAAATTGTAATTAAAAATTGCAAATTTTTAAAGTTCAATAATAAGAAAGTGATAATTGTATTCATGTATCATCTATTATGGTAATATATTAATAAAAATACAGTTAGAGCAATATTTATAATGGGTACCAGTTAAATTCGCCGTGACATTGCCGACCTTTTAATTCATGTGGTAGCCTTGTATTTCAACACAGTCTTTGGAAGTTAAAAAAGATTTTCTTTTATGGCATCTTTATTTTGATTGCTGATGTTTTATATATTTTAGTTTCCGCCAATTTTATTTTTTGTTATGATGTAATACTCGCGGTGAAATATCATATGAGTTGTTTTTTTATCATTTTGATTCCAGTATCGTTGTCAAGCTGTCTATTGTTAATTTTTTGATACTATATTATCAGTAATTATGAGTCAATATGAGAAATTATAAACTAATATGTACTCTATACTTACTATTCATATTATTATTCTCACCAAATAATTTATTTGAACATAATTTTTGTTATAGGGTGTAATTCTCATCCGCAATACTTGCCAACGTTTTACAGTAAGAACAATGATAAAGTTCTCAGTGTGTTCGTAAACTATGACCAGGTTGTTTCGGCAAGTTATGATATAATAATGTTCATTTGGTGATTGGAATTTATTTTTATTTTTGTTTCTAGGTGTTTTTTCAAATTTGAAGTTCTGTCTAGTTTAAAACCAAAATACCTTAGACATTCTTCTTTTGGAAGAGTTGATTTACCGGTTTTCAGTTTAAATATCTTTTGTCCTCACGATTGTTTAATTTAAAAGCTATTGCCGTTTTTTTGTATGCCTATAGGGAGAGATTTCGGGTATTGAATCTATTTCATAGTGTGTCTTTCTAGAATCATTCACATTAGTGATTAGAAGTCCGTTTGGGTAAAACCGACTCACTGTTATTCATTTCGTCAAATCATAATTCGCTGTATACATTGTTGCTCAATAGTATCGTACAACTCACGTTTGCCCTGTTAGTTCATATCACTATACACACTATACGAAGTATACAAAGGTCAGTTCAGTAACACCTTCCTCTTACATTTTATAATATTATGTATTAGCAAAACACACTGTTTAAAGGCAAAAACAACACACGAGTGCCTCCCAAATATTTTAAATCTTTAATATAAAAATATAGGTAACCCACAATACATAAAAATCTATTCGTTATTACTATGCCACGCACAATGCATAATATTCATCACATACTAGAGTTAATTTATATAGATGAAAAAGTAGGGTTGCTATGTTTTCAACTACCTATTTTCAATTAGTTTTAATCATTCCTATGTATATAATATGTTTCCATATAAAATTGTGGTTCTTAATGAGCTTCGTTACTAACTCCTTCTGATAAATTAATTTTTAATTATGGAAATATTTATTTTAATGAGCAGCTAATTGGTCTGTTGAAAATAATTTTAAACGAAAACTATTCATAACGACTATTATCCTGTATCTGATATTATATTCAATTATGAAATGCGCCATGGTTAACATATAAAAACGCAGTCACAACAAAAAAAAAAAAAACGTCAATATCAATCAAGAACGGTTATACATAACAGCACGTTTACGAAGTTGGATACATATTTATAGACCCAGATGGGATCACAGCCTGCAAGTTTATTCTCAACTTTTATTTACCATACGAATAAATAACAAGTGAGATTAAATAAGGCCAGTGGCTAACATCTAACCTAGTCAACCCAGTTCTATAAACATTCACGACACTAAATAAAAAAAGATTTAAAAAAAAAATATCTTTCTATCTGTTAGTGAGATTTAATTGCTAATAGTTGATTTGCGGGATATTTCATGTATTTCAAAGATAAGAATCCACACCTTGAATTGCCCAATCCGGACTTAAACCACCGCCGATTTTCTCCTTGGTGTGTCGAAGACTTCACACAAATTTAGGTTTACTTAATTGGAGCTTATCTTGATTGATCAGTAATTACGCATGTGACTTCGTAAACTTGCTGTGTTTTATTTTAGTCGCTCAATTAGCTGCCCACAAGGACAGATCTTCAATAATTAAAAGTTCTTAATCAAGAACCGTAACGTTTTTTGATGATATTTGTATAAGTAGGTGATAGGTTATGTTAATCAATATTACCTGAATATAGAACTTAGCGCGTTCGTGCAAGTATTAGTATCAGTAAATATATATTCTTTTATTTTTAAAAACACTGTTTGTTTTAGTTACAACTGTACTACCATACAGCGTGTTCCACAAAATATACCTACTTTAATATCTTCGGAAATTATTTTATATTAATTACAAAGATAAAGGCCACGAATATTTATATTTTAACTCAATTTTCATGTTTAGATAATTCAAATTTAAATTTTGATTTCAATATTTTCGGAACATTTTAAAATTGCTCTTTAATAGAGTTTATTCTTCTGAACATTTTGACGTTACAACTTTTTTTTTTCATTTAATTTTTTCTCGGCGTAGAGAAAAAAAGTGTGCAGTCAATATTAGCCAAAATAATAATTATTATTCCGATTACATATAATTATGCAGTGAGTTGTAATCTAATTTCCTAATTGATTAGAATTATTATTATTATGAGTAATTGACTTTACATTTAATTTCTCTGAGCTAAACAAATTTATAAAATCACGAATTGAATAAAAATAAAAACGTTGAAACGTCAAAATGTTAATAATAATAAACACTAGTTATTTATTTTTTACCAAAACGTAACAATTTAATTAAAATATAAATATTTTTCCATATTCCTGAGTAATAAAAAAAAAAAAGGAGATATTGCAATGGGCATATTATCTTCGTGGGACACTGTGTAGTTTTTAAACTTGTCAATATTGAGTATACAATAAATTATAGCATATAGTAACACAAGTCCACGGAATAAACATGAGTTTTTCCACATTATTGAGCAAAAGTATAATACAGTGAATTATTAGTTATCGAAATGCAAACGATATTAGTCTTAAACTTAAATAATTTTGAGGTCAAAAGAAAACTAAAACGGAATCGTAGAATTAATCTGTTTAAACTAAGAATGGCCTAAGTATCTTGGCAACAAACTAGACAGATCTTTAACTTTGAAAAAACACCTAGGAGGTACGAGTACTACTTAACGTGTAAAGACGTGTGTAGAGAAAGGACAGCTAAAAGTAGGAAAGTACATCATCTATTTCCGATGATCGGAGGAAAGACATCGTTTTTATGTTTTTATCAATTTGTAATGTAATTTCGGGATCCCGGGATTGGTTCCGTAAAATTTCAAAATCCTAGGGTTTAACAAGTGTTTCGGAATTGTATTTTCTAGACGTATGAAACCGATTCCCAGTGATCATTCAATCGGTGACAATCTTTTACATAATACTGAAGTATCATCTAGACATAAATCGGCGCCAGCTATTTAACAAACCCTTTTCAATACAGAATCTCCACCCTATAAACAAATCTTTCGCAGCAATGGTATATCAAATAAAAAAAAAAAGACGAGCTATTTTAATGGGAACGGGTCCCGCCCCCTTGAGAATTTTCACATGGGCGCCCTTGAATAAAGATAAAATATAGGTAGATTAAGTAAGATAAGACATTATGTAGTAGTATGTAATGGGGCATATATTAATATAAAGCACGTTTTATGAAGTAAAAGTTAAATCAAAATTAAAAACAAATAAAGTGTTTTTGTTGTAAATACGAACACCAATAACAAAAACTAAACATAAGGACAACGTTGACCGCCTTCCTATACTTGTTCCTGGTGATTGAGTAAGTTAACTAATTTTATTATTTTCGTCAATGAATAAGGACTACTCTACCCTCCTCCCCCACAATAATTCAGCATAGGACAACAAAAGTAACCAAATAAACAAAAAAATGCATTTGAAGAAAATAAGGTAAAATCTGGTAACATCAGGTTTAAAATTATTTCATACACGAGGTTAGGCATACTACGAATAAACGACAGAAATCAGAATCGCAGAAATAACAAAACAATTCGTAACGTGCATTCATACTATCATAGTATCATGGCTATCAGGCTCAATATTTTAATAACCATTTTAGGAATATGTTACACCGCGATATTATATATATATATATATGACGTAATACGCAGGGAATCAAACTTGTATAAAATTGAATCCAATATAATATTACTTATGAGAGTACTCATATCTGTCTATGTAAGTCTATGTTGGGTTATTTTGTATCGGCCCGATGGATATAATATGACTGTACAAATGCATAGTAGCACAGTGGCCCAATCCGCCACTAATGGAACATTAACTGTTATTTTAGTAAATTCCAGGAGCTTCATATTCTAATCAAAACAATTGCACTCGCAGCCATTTGTTTACAAGTAAATAACTTTAAAGATGATTACGTCGTCAACCTATTTAACTACAACCTCCATAAAAACCATAAACACAGCGATAGAACTGGGGGCCGCACGGTAATCATTGTGAAATAAAGCTAATGTATTAACTAAAAAGTAAGCACACTGAGAACTTCAAAATTATCCTTAGTGTAAATGTACAATGATCTATACGTTTTAAAATGCTGAAATAATTAACAAGCGTGATTAAAACATTTATTGAATATTGACATTATAAAAGATAATTTAAATAATGATAAATAAACTAAGTATGATAGCCATTTATGGTTTTAGATATTTCATAAATGTATTGACTAGGATGCCTTTAATATTTAATTAATTAATTAATAATTACTTGTGTTTAGATCATATTATTTTTATAAGGGCTTCGGAATAAATGTTAAATAAAACGATAACAGGTGTAATTCCGACATCATCTATTGATCATCCATATATGATTCTATAAAACTAAATACTATTAATTAATAATTATGATAGGTTAAACGATCCTCAAATATTTAAAAGTTTACATTATTATTGGTCTGTAATATATATTAAAATTAGGAAATTAGTTGTGCTTGTATAAATTAACCTGCGTAAATTAATAAATGTTATTGAGAGCTAGTAGCCTTAAAAATAGAATAGAAAAAAATGTAAAAATTATTAGAGTGGATGATAATAACAAAAGTTTCATTAATATCGATATCATAAAAATTGTATAAAAATAAAAATAAAAACACTAATTTCTAAATTTCTATAATAAAGTATATAGAAATAAATGTACAAATTAATTAATTATTGAAGCACATTAGACATTTTTCAAAAGGAGGACTTTTTCCCAAAATCACCCCCCCCCCTTTTGACTATTTCATTGGACTAAATCATCAAACGAAATTATGTTTATATCTTTTTATCGTGAAACCTAGATTATCCAGCCAGGTATGGGATTTGTATATATTATTACGTTTCTTAAATTCTCACAGACTTCAGTAGTGGGTTACCTAGGTACGGTCTTAATGTATTGTAAAATTTGTTCTGCGATTTTCAGTTTTCCTTTTCACGTACAATAGTGACCAGTAGATAAAGAGGTGTAAAGTTCAACTAATAAGAATAGGTATTGCTATTATAATATAATATAATTCCACGTTGAGTGGAGTACAATTTATAATATTTTTAACCGCGAAACGACAATATCAATGGCGTTTTCACGAATCGCGAAAATATTTACTATAGATTAAGTTATTTTAGTGGCAAAAATGAATAAACGATAAAGTAATACCTACAGAGTCTTCCGAATTTTATGTTAGGCAAATTCTCCATGTAATACTTATTTTTTCAAAACATGACTTACATAAAAACGTTTTGTAATTTAAAATTCTATGAGTCTATAATTCCTTTATTTTGAAACCCTTATTATTATTTGGGTTGAAAAGTTATTTATTTTTATATATTTTGATTTCAAAATTATTGATTTCCATCAATCCATTGACAATATATACCATTTTTAAGTTTGAGTCGGGGGTTTAGGTAAAGAGTTCTATAAAACAAATTCCGATAAAAGTTAATTCTTTTTCAGATTTTCTTTTCGTGCCTTATGATAGATTAATCACTCTGTATATTGTAAACACGTACCTAACCATGATATTAACTTATTCTATATGTTATTTTAAATACGTTTTCTAAAAATTCAAGAAAAATAAAGTTTTAAACATTTTGTTGTTTTATGTTTTGTTATTTTATATTTTATTTTATGTATGGATACATTACGTTTAATTATCGTATCGCCGTGGTTGTGCCAATTTTTTTATTAATTTGGTAGCCTTGTATTTCAACGAACTCTTCGAAACTTCAAAAGGATTTTCCCTTATAGCATCTTTGATTGCTGATGTTTCATAAACTTTGGGTTCCGCCAATTCTCCTATCCGTTTTGATGGTTTATGTCTCAATACGCGCAGCGGAATTTCGAATGGGTTGTATTCGATATTTAGTCTCATTTCGGACGCCAATTTCCGTGGTTCGGATAAACGGTTTATTGATTCAATCATTTTATCCGGTAGTTTTTTTATTTTGGGTTTGGGTTCTTTTTTCAAAATTGTATAGCGTCTTGATTTCGGTATCGCTGACAAGCGGTCAATAAATTCTTCTATTTCAGCTTCAGTGAGTTTGGTATATTTTTTTAGTACTAATGGTGGTTTGAATATTGTTTTAGGAACTGCATTTATTTTGAGCCAAGCTGTTTGTTTCTCATATGGTCTTAGGTACGATTTTCTTGGTTCAACTTTGTTACATTGAGGGTGGAATTTCAATTGTTGTTTTGGCTGAGCCAGCTCTATTATTCGATTACTTGTATGATCATATTTATTTGGTGTCCAGTTTACGGAATACGTTGTTTTTATATTTTGATGCAGTAGCGGATTGGGTTGTCTAAGTTTTGGTTTGCTCAAATTCCAAATGCGACTCGTTTTTTCTAGCTGGCATCCTATCGCTGCTTTTGAAACGGGTTCAGGTAATGTACGCTCCATAATAGATACTACGTCTCGCCATTTTTTTGGCTTTGCCAAAGCTTCTATCCGGTTTTTATGCATCTTACTGTACAATGGTTTACACCTAAAAAAAATGTAATACTATACAGAATTAAAATAATTTTTTCTGAAATTTTTGTAATATTATAAATAAACTCCTTAGTAACTGCAGATAATGTATTTATTTTAAGTAACTAATCATATACAAAAACAATATTGCCAGAGATTATATATTATATCTTCGATGAGCGGTTGCACGTATCTATTGTGATCCCAGAGATCACAAGTTCAAACCAGAACCAGAAAAAATGTTTTATTCAAAACCATGTCGGGTAGGTAATGGAGATAAAAAAATGCATTTTAGATGCACCTAGAGACCGAAGCCATCGTAATAGGGGTACAACCACTACCTACTTTTGATTTACAAATGGCAACCTATATTATAAATCCCATAAATAGATGGAATGTTATTTGGAATATTTGTTATCATGGAATGTTATTTAAAATACATTTTAGTGTTGACATTTTTGATTTCCGCCAATCCTATTACGAGATATTCCACTTAAAAGTTTGTGTTGGAGGAGAGTGGTGGAGTATCATTTGTGTGGCGGTACGGCGCGCGGCGTGTTAATGATATATTATCACTCTTCTCTAACTCTAACTTAATAGTAGAATATCTTATCAACGGATTAACAGAAATCAAAATATCAATGCTAACATTTATTTTAATTGAAACTTCATTTATTTATGGAATATTTAATATAGGTTGCCATTTGAAAATCAAAAGTAGGTAGTTTTACCTCCAAAATTAAGGGTGACAAAAAATAACATAAATATAAAATTGTAAACAGCTTGTTTCCTAAATATTCTAGAAATCAAATTACTTTCCGAGATAACGAGTGCCTCACGATAGATTGATCACCTTGTATTTATATTGTTGAAAAAACAATACTATTAACCGATCTCCGCTCAGAATTGTTTTTCGTTGACAATGATTAATCTTTGCTTTCAGATATACTTTAATTTTCCCCCTACCTTCCCTAATTCTCATCAATAACAATGATTGGTCCACTCGTCGTGCGAAGTATGTCCATATTTTTAGCAATCATTTTTTACCTACCTATAATACCTGTACATAGTTTTAAGAAGTATAAAAATTAAGTTTTCAGAAATCATACCACGCGGCCAACGCAACATGGGCACAATGTTTTTGATAAAAAGGTTAAGTTATTATTATTGCATATAAACTCAGTTTCGGTAAATGCCGTGATCGTGATATAATAAAAACGCGCTACTAATACAAGCCCTAGAATGCCCAAAGAATGAATAATATAAATAAATAAAATACTTATTAATTTTAGAATAATGTTGATAAATTTTAAATCCATAAGAAAAAATGTATGAGTTGCTACTTAAGTTATTAGTTTGAAAATGATGGTTTTTGATAATGGTATATATTATTGGTAATACCTACAGTATGTCAAAGTGTATTATAATATATTATGTATATTCGAGAGTTATTTTATCAGTTTAATTAATTTTAGGTTGACGAATTTGAAAAACCAAGTTCTCAATATTTTTTTATGAAGTGAATTGTTCACAGTGTGGAACTTATACAATCTAACTGCTACAACATCTAAACAGTTGATATTTGTGTCGGTATAGTATTTTGATTACATGAATTTAATACATCAATTTTTAGATTTATAGCGGACTGAAGAAGCTATATTATAGTTTTACTACTAAGACGTGTGTTTTATCTTGGTTATATTGGCTAAAAAATAAAAAAAAAAACACACGATCAATACTATAATACTACGTCGATTTTTGATTACAATGCTTTGTCGTTACTATCTGTAAACAAATTAAATTACCATGTACAAAGTACTATACATTTCTAACGTTCCACATTCTGAAGTGGCCTGTCAATGGTTATTATCAATAATATTATTACCTCATTATGATAGGACTAACTGTCCGTTTATTTGAAAAATAAATAAATAAACAAAAAAATTAGGGATTCCGTAACTCTGTCCCAAGGCGAATAGATGAAATTCTGAACATAATTTTTTTTACGATAGTGGGTCGTTGGCTCACCGATCCAACCCTCTGGAGAACCGGCCACAGAGGTCTGTTAGGATAATATTAATTATATGCTTTACAAATTTTAAAATGGTTCCCTGTTAGAGAACTTTGGCCGCAGAAAACCATACAAGTTAACACTGGTACTACTTTTTTTTAGATTTTTGAATCTTACTAAGATCTTTTTGATTGGTGTCCCATAAACTTAATTTTTTTTTTTATTGATTCAAGTGTAGTACAAAGTATGGTACTTAAGTCTTCTAGAAGTTTTTGGTAGGCCACTTCTTTCATATTACGCTTTAAATAATCACTTGTCTAAACGTCCCTAAAACATGGATAGTTTTTAAATATATTATTTAAAAATAAAATTACGAAATCCTTTGCCGTTTCACTTTAAATCATTAATTTTTAAACAAAGTACAACATACAGAAAACGTGGTAAGTTCGATGTTTTACTCTCTACTGATAGAGGCAATAGTAGTCAGATTGCACTACCGACTGGTGCCACCGATCACGTGATTAATTAGTCACCGCCATCTGCTACACCAAAGGTTGAATATGTCAAACTTCACCAGCCGCTGACAGATACTCGCCAATGGCGAATTTTGTGATTGCACCAAGCTGATTGACGGCTGACAGTAGCAGCTACTAAATTCGCTGCTACCAACCATCCGTGTGACTCGTGCTTAAGGCTCGGGCCACACTAGGCCGGTTCAACCGCGTGGATTAACCGCCAATCCAGGGAGTATACATTATTATAGGAGCGTGTAAAAAAACCGAAAATAAATCAGCCGAACTGTATTTAAGCCGAAAAATATTTGAGCCGATATTATTTTATCTGAAAATATTACAACCGACTAAAATAAAGAGATAAGGTCAGATCTTCCAAAAATCTATAACGCGTGATAAGAATTTTATATTTGTATTTGTATATTTTTTATGGGTTAGGTGCCCAAGAGAACAGTAAGTAACACTATTTAAAGGTACATTAAATCACCACAATATATAGAAATAATAAAACATATTAAAAAAAAAAATAATAATAATAATAATATAACATAAACAATAGTGGCAGATAAAATAATTGTTTTAATAATGTTTTCTTTTGCTTTAACTAGCTCTTCTAATAAACGTTGTTCATCATACATGGTTGTGTTTTAAACGATAATTATTATAAGCGTTGGCTTATATAGCCACATATGTATCGAACCGGGCGTATACAGAGTTCCAACGTTGTTCAACGTCACACTGCTATCAACTAATTCAGAATTCAAGGCATATACGCTAATCATTGTTATCGACATGGGCCGACAGAATGATAACGTGACTGTAGACCTTAGGATCGAGTTCAAAGCAGATGGAGCTTTTCCAGCTTATACATCGGCATATTGCCTAATTTTACACGACCAAATAATAACTCACAACCCGTTGAGTGGTGGTGTAAGATCGTTGTATCTTTATTGTGTAAAAACTGTTTATGTTTTGTAAACATTATTGTATAATTAATATTATGAAAGAAAATAAAACGTATTTTTTTTGTTTGAGTAAATAATTGTGTTTTTATTTAATACATCTGCACACGTTATATAAAATTAAATAATTGTGTATTCCATTCATATTTGATATTTAATTTCTTTTACTAAATCATGTCCAATCAGATTGAATTGTTTTAAAACCACCGGTAGATTAATTGCGGTTTAACGCACGGCTTTCGAAAATGCACCATTTCAAATTTTGAAGTTCAAATAAATCCCGTCTATTTAATAGGATGTGGCAGCCGTTCACGGTTTTTGATCCGATTATAAGAAAGTTCTCGTTTTTGTAAACCATACTCGAAGACTTCAACATTGTGGTCGCCAGAAATATATGTGACTTATATTTCGGTGTGTCGAGTATGAATGACAGGATTTCGTCCATCAGTGAAAATTTACGTCTCAGAAAATCTGTCGAAATATTTACGTACCGCGACTGAGTTATTAATTGTATTTTGATGGCGAACATGTTTGTCGGGTCGATGCCTATTTTCACGAAATTGCGTTCTGTGAAGCACCGTATGTTCAAATTTTTGTATCTATTGCTTCTATGTTTACTATTATTGATGTGATTAATAATTTTACCACGTTGGTCATTTGATTTTTCACAAGATCAAATATACAATTTGTCTATTACTTCTAAAAGTACACGTATGTCGAAAACTCTCTAATGTTAAAACTACATAAAAATATTCGTTTAAATTAAAATCCATTCTCTATTTATCAATACGAGGTCTAATCAAAAAGTATCGAGACTGTTAATAAAAAATATACATATTTATTAGATAAAGATATTTATATTCAATCTCCTTCAAAATATGCTCCTTCTGAGTCTATACATGTTCTCCAACGTTTCTGCCATTTTTGAAAACACCTCTGGAAGTCATTTTTAGAAACTCCTCGCAGCTGCTCCGTCGCATTTTGTTTTATTTCATCTACATCATGAAAACGTTTACCTTTAAGTGCTATTTTTATCTTTGGGAAGAAAAAAAAATCACATNTATACATTGTTCTCCAACGTTCCTGCCATTTTTGAAAATACCTCTGGAAGTCATTTTTAGAAACTCCTCGCAGCTGCTCCGTCGCATTTTGTTTTATTTCATCTACATCTTGAAAACGTTTACCCTTAAGTACTATTTTTATCTTTGGGAATAAAAAAAAATCACATGGAGCAAGGTCTGGTGAATTGGGGGGTTGAGAAACAACCGGGATATCATGTTTGGCCAAAAACTGCTGCACGATATGAGCTGAATAGGCTGGTGCATTATCGTGATGCAATTTCCAACTACCAGACTCTTTAAACTCAGGTCCTTATCTTCGTACAGCATCTCGTAAACGGCGAAGAACATTAATGTAGTACTCCTTTGTTATGGTCTGTCCTTTTG